CCGTGCCGGCCACGGGCTTCGCGCCGCCCTCAAACATGGGGCAAAACTCATGAATTACCAACATTTCCCTCCTGCCCCCCGGCCTTTGCATAATTTCCATTCAAACGAAACGAGGGATGGCGGAAGGGGGTTTTGGAGCAACGTTACTCGGACCCTGCTCACGCTCCGTCCCCTCCGCCATCAGTGATTCCCATTTTTAAGGCTGCCCCGTCACTAAAGCTTGAGAAAGGAGAGAGGGGAAGCTGACCGATGGAGGGGAGCGGTGGGTGGCATCGCCTGGTGTTTGACGTGTCGCTGCCTTCCTCCCGCAGAGGCCTCGTGATCGCGATGGTGGCTAGCTTCATCTTCATCGTCCTGCTCCGCTTCCTGGCCGGGATCATGGTCTGGGTGATGATCGTGATGGTGATCCTGGTGCTGGGCTACGGTGAGCGAGGGGTCGGGAGCTTCTCCCGGCTTTCCCCGTTTTCCTTTCCCTATCTTGAGTGGGCTTTGCACGAAGAAAGCTCATGCACAGCATCCTTCCAGGTGTCTTCTACCTGAACGTCGGCATCGGTGGGGTTGAGCAGAGGCTGCCGGCATCTCGGTCTCCGCTTTTCAGTGCAAATACGACAATTTTCTGCTTTTCGCTGCAGGAATCTTCCACTGTTACATGGAATATGCAAAACTGAAAGGGGAAGCGGGTTCTGACGTCTCCCTGAAGGACCTGGGATTTCAGACAGACCTACGCGTCTACCTCCACCTGCGGCAGACGTGGCTGGCATTCAGTAAGTCTCCATCCTCCTCTGGGTGCGGGATGGGACACGGGGGATGCGCCCCAGCCCCGGTGCCTTTGAGGGACAGGGCTTGGGAAGGCAAAGGTGGATGGTGGCCATCGGGCGCTGTCCGTGCCCTCGTGCTACCGGGGGCTCCCCTTCTCCTCCCAGTGATCATCCTGTGCATCGTGGAGGTGGTGATCATACTGCTGCTCATCTTCCTCCGCAAGAGGATCCTCATTGCCATTGCGCTCATCAAGGAGGCCAGCAGGTCCGGGGGTCCCCCGTCCCCAGGCAGAGGTTGTCCCCCGTCGCGGTGGGAGGACTCGGGGACGGCCGGGCTCCAGCCGTCGAGGTCCTCCCGTCCCCACGAGGATTTTAACCGGGTTTTAACCATCTTCTCGGCAGGGCTGTTGGTCACATCATGATGTCGCTGCTGTTCCCATTGTGCACCTTCTTCCTGCTGTGTCTCTGCATCACCTACTGGGCCAGCACCGCCGTGTATCCTTCCCTCTTCCTCCTCCTCTTCCCCGTGCCTCTGCTCCCGGGGAAGGAAGGTGCTCAGAAATCAAAGGTCTTTCAGGGCGCTGAACTGTGCCCTGAAACGTACAGGATTAGTGACACATCTGTTTGCAAAACTGCCAGCTTAAGTCTCTGTCGTGGTTTAACCCCAGCCCCACCCAGCCGCTCGCTCCCTCCCTCCCGGAGGGAGCGGGGAGAGAATCGGGAGGGTAAAAGTGAGAAGTCTCGTGGGCTGAGGTAAAGACAGTTTAACAGGTAAAGCAAAGGCCGCGCGCGCAAACAAAGCAAAACAAGGAATTCGTTCACTCCTTCCCGTCGGCGGGCAGGTGCGCAGCCATCGCCAGGACAGCGGGGCTCCATCAGGCGTAACGGTGACTTGGGAAGACAAACACTGTCGCTCCGAACGTCCCCCCCCTTCCTCCTCCTTCCCCCAGCTTTATATGCTGAGCACGACGCCATGTGGTGTGGGATATCCCTCGGGTCAGTTGGGGTCGGCTGTCCCGGCCGTGTCCCCTCCCAGCTTCTTGTGCCCCCCCCAGCCTGCTAGCTGGTGGGGTGGGGCGAGGAGCAGAAAAGGCCTTGACTTAGTGTAAGCACTGCTCAGCAGTAACGAAGACATCCCTGTATTACCAACACTGTTTCAGCACAAATCCAAACCAGAGCCCCATGCCAGCTACTGTGAAAAAAATTAACTCTATCCCAGCCAAAACCAGCACAGTCTCTTAAGTTTGACTTAAAATAGAACCTAACGTAGAAAACCGATTGCAGGAGGCCGGTGAGAGCAAAACTGAGGGAGGATTCGGGGTTGAGGTTTGCAAAATCACGTCTCCTTAACCGTTGCTCTGCAGTTTCCTCTCCACCTCCAACGAGGCGGTCTATAAGGTGTTTAACGAGACTGCGTGCCAGTTTTCCGGGCAGACCTGCAAACCGGAGGTGAGGACGTCGGGGAAACTCATACGAATGCTATGCTTAATCTGTCAGAGATAAGGTGGTTTATTACATGAAAAATATCCTGGTGGCTCCTTGAGCCTGCAAGCTCTTCCAAGTGAAATTCCGCCTTTCTGAACTCGTTTACATCGTGTCGTTATTTTTCTTCAAGCTGTTGCGTGCGCAAAGCTGACTTTTTGGTCCGAGCAAACGCTACCAGGCAAAAAATTAAGCAGGATAGTGTCTTCTGAAAGTCGAGATTGCTGTGGGTTGAGCGAAAGATGCTGTCGGTCCGCCTTGCGGCGCATCTCCGGCCACCGCAGTGCGTGAGCCTCTGCTGTCCTCTCCAGACCTTCAACACGAGCAACGTCACCAAGCTGTGCCCCGACGCCCAGTGCCTCTTCGCGTTCTACGGGGGCGAGACGGCGTACCACAAGTACCTCATCGTCCTCCAGTTCTTCAACGTCTTCATGTTCTTCTGGCTCGCCAACTTCGTGATCGCGCTGGGCCAGGTGACGCTGGCGGGGGCCTTCGCGTCATACTACTGGGCCTTCAAGAAACCCGACGACATGCCCGCCTTCCCCCTCTTCTCCGCCTTCGGCCGTGCGCTCCGGTACGTCCCTCTCGAGGAGGGCTTGCGAGCTTCTTGAGGTTGTCCCCTTCTAACCGGAGCGATCTTTCCCAGGTACCACACCGGCTCGCTCGCCTTCGGCTCTCTGATCCTCGCCATCGTCCAAGTCATCAGGGTCACTCTGGAGTATCTGGACCACAGGTTAAAAGGTACCGAAGCTGGAATGGCAAATGGGTAGACGAACGAGGTTGGCTTCTTCTGTGTTCCTTGGTGCCAGAGCTCGTGGCTAACGTCCAGGGGAATAATTTCAGTATTTCGGCAGGGAATCGAGATTTTCCTTTTAGGATCCCGTAGTCGCCTCTTTTCTCCAAGAGATGTTTCATGGGGCGGGAGCCGAGGGATGCGCCGCGGCTGCCGGGCTAAGTCAGCCGGTGCCGGGACTCTGTACGGGTGGGAGGGAAGTCTGCGTCTGGCCGTACGACTCTTATTGATGGTGAAACGTAAACAGCGAGCAGAAGCATGGGAAGAGCATGGGAGGCTCATCCCGCTGTCTGCAGCGGTATCGGCCTCCCAGGGAGGCTGAAAACAGGGCGTAGCGGGGGAGGCCGTGACGGGGCAGCGGGAAGTCTCATTAGGGACCTTGAAGTTGCTTCTGTAGGAGAAGGCGTCTCTCGGTTTGGTTGCTCACCCTCTCCCCGTGGCATTCCTCCAGCTGCAGATAATAGGTTTGCCAAGTTCCTCCTGAGCTGCCTGAAGTGCTGCTTCTGGTGCCTGGAAAAATTCATCAAATTCCTCAACAGAAACGCGTACATCATGGTAAGAGTCTCCCGGCGTTAACGCCCAAAGGGTTGTGACTGGGGAGGAGGTCTCCACACTCTTGGAGATTTCTTTGGGTGGCTGCTGAGAACCGTGTCTCCTGATGTCATGGGAAAACAAAGCTTTTCAGCATTTCCCAGCCGTTTCGCTGGGAAGCCTTGACCTCAGCCGTGTCGCTTTGACTTTGGGAGGGACCTTCTCAGAGACACCGGGGTGGGGGGATTCAGCTCTGGCTGTCTGCGATGCCCGACCCGTCAGTGGATGAAGAAGCGCTTCCAGGGTGGGATTTATCAGTTTTACTCAAAGATGGGATTAATTGCACCCTCTTCTTAGCGGTGAATTCAGTGTGGCTCCGTTTCTCTCTTCTCTGCCCCTTTCTTCCGGGACTCCCTCTAGATCGCCGTCTACGGCACCAACTTCTGCACCT